AATAAGCGTGCCAAAAGTGATTAGCTTTGTCAATTTACCCAGCCGAATTCAAAGAAGGTGCGCAAGCAATGTTTTTCGGATAATCCGCAGACCAATCTATTTCTTTTTGCTAAATATTCGTCGATAAAATCAAAACAAAAAAGAGTGCGAATAAAATATAATGACGTTAGGTTTATTTATTTATAACTGTTTGCGATGGAATGGTGGGAGCAGGCACGGAAGTCAACGCCTTTGGACAGACAGACAATTGCTTGCTGGATTTTAATTAAGCAAGACACGTTTCACGCATCCGCGTGCAGTTGCGCGTGCGCGAAGCATGTGATAAATGAAGGTGATAGGGATAGGAATAGGGAGAGTAAACTGCGAGCGCTTTCAAAGAAGCAAAGGTAAATGTAGAACGGACAAAACATTGATGAGTAGATAGGTCATTGATGAAGCAGGCCTTAGCCAAGCAGGCCTCGCAAGCAATGCAACATCAAGAATTTTAGTGCGATAAAAGGAGAAATTATGAAGAAAAGTATTGTGAATTTCAACTAGTGAGAAATGTGCATTATCGTATATAAGCACAAGCATTACATGTGCCCATAACATACATATTCATTTCTGATATTTGTTTTTTTTTTAATTTTCATTAAACGCTTATAACAAATACCATTCAATTGTTATATAATCCGGTTTCCACAACTAGAAATCAATAACCGCAACACGAGGAAGCGAGTCAGCTGCGACTCAGCGCAAGCTATGCGCGGATTTCCATGCGGCGCAGTGAATACGAGTATGTCTATAGCTACGGCTCCGGCTCCGACTGAGTGCTCAGTGCTGAGTGCGGCATACCTGTGGTTTTATAGGTTTAGAAAGTCCCGACCCAATTAGAAAAAGTAATGACGGGTCGCTCATATGAATAGTTTCGTTATTGTTTGTTGTGTTTTTTTTTTTTTAACTCGCTCGAAAAGCTTCCTACATTCCTGCAAGGTTGGGCTTAGCTGTCAATAAAGAGCGAAAATGCCAGTTGATAAGTACATTATAATTTCTAATTAAAAGCATGCATATATATACATGTACCCATGCGCATACACACATATGTAAGCAAATCGCAAACATTGCTTATGAATGAATCAAAAGCAATACAAATAAGAATAAATAGAGAGAGGAAATGTGGAATTGACATGATAAAAATAATAAAAGAAGTATAAAATGAATAAAAAAATGTAATTATTGTAAAATAACAAACTAAAAATAACAATAAAAAATGAATTGAATTTATATAAGAAAAAATTTAAATTTTAAATAAACTAAAATACTTAATTAAAATAAAAATTAAGAATTTGGAAATAAAATAAGTTAGGGAATAAATTTAGTTAAAAACTTATAATAATAGTTTGAGATTACTTCAAAAAAAATTTATAAAGCAATACAAATAAAAAACAGCATACAGTTTCTAATGTGACTTTTTTTCGAACTTTCAAAATATGTATGTATATATTTATTTTTCTAAATAGGTTTCATCGCCTTCAAAGCAAGCCTCCCGAAGTAGCAGTCCACATACAAACATATATTGTATCAAAGCCAATATTTCAGCCTCCTTAATTTATAATGCACAACACATTGGTAAGCGAGTCGCCTGGGAAAATGTGCAAATATAGAACTTGACTACTTTATTTTATATGTATGTACATATATATATTGAAATATATACAAAGTTTATTTTGAAAAACTTTATCAGGAATGAATCACTTCCACTGAAACATTAATATTGGGCATATATACATACACATGCAGTATATAGAAGATATGCATTCGTAATGCAGCCGCTTCCTCTTTATATTGTACTTATACAGGCACCAACTCCATATTTCTTCAAGAATGCAAATTCCATAGTACGAATTGCTGTACAAGCGAATGAGTAAACGTGGGAAGTAATGGACGTCTATCTGAGAAAAGTTATAAGCAAGGGAATACTTTGGAGGCGGCTGTAAAAGCCGAGCATAGCGGAAGGTCCAGGTTTCGAGTCCTGACTTAACCAACACCCAAAAATTTATAGGAATTTAGTTTTTCTACTTGCTCGGCATATGTATGTACATTGTGAGATGGAATATTTTGTTTATAGTTACAGCACTCTATTTTCCAGTGGCATTTTATTTCGAAAACATTATCTCCCTATGAAAAACGCTCCTTTTTTAACATTTTATCTATTTGTCATACGCTATCTTATCTCTACAAATACAACAAAAAATGAGTTTGACACATTTAGAAATAGTTGAATATACATACACGAAGCTCTGTTAGACCAAACCGGAGGGATTCTCACATTCTTAGTCGATATTTCGAACGCAGTATTCGTGAAATGTAAGCTGGAGATAAGATTTCATGGGTTAGGTGATATATGAATAGGCATACTGCAACGTTAAGAATGGATAAGGCAAGTATGTATGAATATATTTAATGTTTGAACTTCCCCGCTATTGCTGTTGACAGTTGTGCATTCATGAGTAAGCGGTGATGATTAATTCTGGTATTGGTAAGCACGCAGTTGAATGCGCATTTGGAAACTTAAAAAATTCTCCGCTTTAGCAACAAAAGAACTTTCACATGATTTGTAATTTCAATTCGCTCAAAACACGTTTTGATTAGGAATGCAAATACATATGTACGCAGCTGAACGGACTCAAAATTCAAATATTCCATTTATGTGTCGCGGGGAATGTTTATGAATACGAAGAAACTACAACAAAAATATAAAACACAATTATGGAAGAGAGAAATGTAACGAAATGCAAATGTGAACACTCCTGCATAGGAAACTCAGAGCTAAGCATTTGCAAGTTTATGCAGCGGTTCAAACCCAACAAGAAGTTTTTTCGGTCCTACTTTGTGATTTCATTCTTACTAAGTCCGGGCCAAATCGTTGGTTCGTATAAATATTTTAGCACGTTGCTTTATACTTCAGTAAATATTGAGACACTATTTGGCGCCTGAACAAACAGAGTATTGTGCGATCAGTTGTAGCATGTTAATATGTATTATATCTAAGCTGCAGAAGTTCAAGCGATGCAACTTATAGCAACGCAACCGTACACAGTCCCTTTTCAGCTGTGCGGTGTTGTTGTTAGACATCGAGTGAGTGAGTCACCTTACCTTGGCAACTCCGCAGATTTTACGAAATACACCAGCGTCAGCTGGTTTGTTTTGTGGCAAAGACAACGTGAAGGCTGGTAGACTTCACTGCGAGGCAATAAATTGTTTTCAGCGATTTTTAAACTCAACTTTATTTGCTTTGTACACTTATGTATGTATGTACTGGAACGCTTGAAACAGTCTTAAATTTGTATTGGTTATTACGGTTACGTGAGTAGAAACTGGTTTATTTACGAGAAAATTGCATTGCAAAATCCAACATCATCACATCAAAGTCATGCCTAATTGAGAAGATATTATTGTTGCCCTGCAGATTTTAAGGTGAAAATAGAATACCAAAAATTTTATGGAAAATACACGAATTACCTACCTAAATAAAATTGAAATTTGAAGTGGCATTTCTAGGAAATAATAAAAAACAAATATATTAGAGAGTTGAATATGAGCACAAACCTTTATATATAATAAATAAATTTTGTTATTTCAATATTTTAAACAAGGTTGGCAACTTTTTAATATAAAAGTTCAATTAAAGGCCTAATTCACTATTGCAAGGCGGTTTGGAAATCTTCAACTCTTCCATACATACATTATATAGACAGGAATGCCAGCTTTTTAAAAAGGGTGAAAAAGGGTGAATAGAGTTAAGCGATTTTTCACAAATTAAAGTATAACTTTTGCAAAAAAGAATCTGGGTCTAAAGCAGAATGCATTTATATGTATGATTGCTAAATCTTAAATTTTGTATGTATAACACCTCAAGTATATTTTTTTATTCAAACATGTGTATTTCCTAAGCTCAGCATCGTTCGCGAATAGATATAAAAAAATATTTTCATGAGTACATATGCATATATCTATGTACCTAGTTAACTACATATTTTAATATTCCAATACGAATACCAATGTTCTGAATGAATTATTCAATATATACTATACCTACAAGAATGTAAATGTATAGGTATTTAATTGTACGTACCTACATTCAACCGAACCGCGCCCGTTTCTTTCATAGAAGAGGTATTTTCACAAAAACAACAGTTCAATGATAACAAATATTTTTTCTATTTTGTACTTATTCCTACAGGAAAATAGAAAGCAGCCGTAAACGAGAAGCTAAATAATTAGATCATATAAGTAAGTGGGATAAAAATTGTAAGTGTGTTAAGTGACAGCAAAAACAAAGAGAATAATTACTAAGAAAAACAACACCAACAAGGTGAATAGTACAATTTTCGGTAATAATTTGCAATTTTATACATTTTCCTTTTTAATGGTACCTACATTGTGCATTTATTTTACATAAAAGAAATATCAAAATATGCAGTACTTAATTGAATAGAGTAAGTTTTCAAACAGAGAGTTCCACATTCGATAAAAAGGGCGTGTAAAGAAGAGCTAAATACAAAACGAAGCGAAAATGTCCTGAAAATTATCATGGACACGACGAGTATGCGATTCGAAACCGACGACTCAAGATACATGCGCGCAACGACAGCTGTTGTGATAATGGCCACATATTGTTCATGCAAACCAGGTAATGGCGACACTTTTCATTTTTTTATCATATTGCACTCTTGCACAGTGATTCGAAATTTTCAGGTTAAACTGCAGCTAAGGAAACACCCTGCTAAATTTACCGGAAGAAGTTTATTTTGATTTTCGTATACACTTCTAATTTCAAATATCTTAATAATATGTATGGGTGTTTGTTTATTTATATTTTGAAAATCCAGCTAAATAAATTACTTACTTATGTGAAATACATTAATGCCACAAAATTTTTTTAATATGCTAGTTATAAAACCATGTCAACTCGCATTGATAAACTCATATGTATATGTTTGATGTATTTTTGCACTTACCACATCATTTTTTATTCCTTGATATCCTTATCTAACTACCACACTACATTTTTTCTATGTGTACGCATACAATTGCTCTTGTAAATTGTTATAAAATGGTTTTAAATTTGTTTTGAAGTCTCCAATGCTTCCGATTTTAATGCGTTCATTTGCGTAGAAGGGCAGAATCGACTCCTACTGCAGCAAATAACTGATTTCGTTTCCCGACACAATGTTTAAACTTATTTGTATTTATTTTTAAGTGGAATTTTTTGGTAAATTTCACATTAGCACTTCTGTAATACCCAATGATTTTATTTGTTTCCGTTTTCTATTTGTTTTTCACTGTACTTTATATGTGTTTATAAAAATTGTAGTTTTCGTTGATTTTATAGATTCACTTCGTTCTTTTATTTTTTCCGCTATTTACTTATAGGTCCTTCTCACGTTGGCCATGCGCACCCACCGTCATCCTTACTTGTGCCTTTGCTGCTGCTTAGCACTATTGCAACACAGGAAAACGAAAAAAATTTAACTGAGATATACAAGACCACACTAAATCCTTCAAAAAGCTCTGGTTGTTGGGATAAGAAAAAACCACTCTATCATGCCCTCTTCAAATTTTTGAAAATATGCTTATTTTTCAAGCCCGCAACTAATACAGAGAACGGGACAGCGCTAGATGCACCAGCGTTAATAGATTAATCTTCTTTTGCCTCAATTTTAGCTCCATAAAATACCACAAGCAACGAAGGAAAGTACTACTAATACGCACAAGTATCTGTCGACTTAAAAGGGCGATATTTCGTTGTTCTCTTCGCCGCAACCAATCTCTTCCTTCACCCACACCCTCAACACATTAAACATGTTTCACAATTCCGGCCGTTCCCCTTAGTAAAAAAAGTGTGTTCTGCTGTTGTCCCGACAATTTTGCTATTTTGTTCCTGTTGGCAGGAAATTTGCTATATACATAGGCATATGTATGTACATACTGGAAATTTTCGTCTCGTTTCCTATTCAAAACTCTGTGAAATGAAATATTTAAATTGGAAAATATCTTGACTGAAAAAAGCAAAGTAAATTGCAACTCAACTGAACTTTGATTGTGTTTTTGTTTTCAGAAGTTCTAAGACGACGATGTCATTAAAACTCGATGTTCCCTGGTTTTTGCTACTCTGGTTTTTGTACTTCCATCCACTGCTTTGTTTGGCCTAGCCAGTTAGTGTGGGTTCATGTATATAAGTATGCATGTGTGACGCGTTTGTGTATCGCTTTAAATATGTTTGTCTACTGATTCATCGCACCGCCTGTTTTCCCCAAGTTACAAACAAAAAGAGATGAACTTTTAGCATTCTTTAAACAAACACACGACGAACTTCACTTTTTCTCTACAAAAACTTAACAATTTAGTGATTTTCTTTTGGCTTTTTCTAATTTAAAATCTACCCATAAATCTTAACCGAAACCGAATTTCCTTCCGTCGCACACTAATACAAACCGCTCTACCGCTGTCAACGATCAAAAACCAATTGCTCTAAACAGGGTTGTAAAAATCATACACTTTCTGTACCCGTATAGAGTAGCGTCAAATAGTAGTACTCGGAAAACAGGGTTGCAAATGAAATGGTGGTGCCATTAAGAAAGAAACGTACGCCTTGCAAACAAAATTGAAGAAACATTCAAATAGGAAGTGCTTTATCTATGTAATGATTTTGATTTCGAGCAATGCTGTAATATTTTCACAATTATCTAAACAATTCTAAATTTTAAACACGCTTACATATTATCCGCCCAGTGTCTTTAAAGTTATTATAATCTGACAACAGTTTGGTTTTGTAAATGATTATAATCCAAGTGGCACGACAACTTCACAGTTTATTGCGCAATATCACATTTTAAAACGGATGAGGAAATATTGCGCAATACGTAAACGAGATGCCAAGATACATTTCTTTTAATTGCTACTCTCAAGATGAATTCATAAAGAGAGAGCTGATATAGTGTACCGGTAAAGCATATCTGTCGTAAAAGGAAACTAATCTACAATCCGACAGTCGGGTCTTTATACCGGAACGACCCGGAGTAACAACAACAACAATTCTCAAGATTTTCACGATTATGCTGCAACTAGCCAAAAACATAGTGACTCAGCTGTCACAGCCTATCTTATATTACCACTTACCGACATCCTTCGCGATGCCGTTACCGACAGCCACTTGCTCGTTGTTATACAAAGTATATGATAAATAGATTTAAAATGAAATATTGAAAGTAATACAATGAATGAAAAAAATTGAATTCGGCGCTATGGTAACTAACTTCAACTTGTTAAATTCGCTTTGCTACTTCCAAATTCTTTATGAAATCTGCATATCAAAAGAAAGAGAAAAATGTTTCAGTAAACTGATATATTCAGTTTTTAAGCATATTTATTTCTTAAAAAATACCTCTTCAATTCGTAATACAATTAATTTATCTCTTTTCAAATAATACTACAATAAATTTATTAGAAAAAATTCTAGCGAAGCTTTTTTTTGCTTACTTGTTTATAAATAATTAAAAAACATTTACCGTAATGACTTCCAATTGATTTTATGCCCCAAACGCAAAAAGAGCACTTAAAATTTTAAACAATTTGTTCTTCTGCATAATGCTCTTAAAACTCTTCGTTGCGATAAGCATCAACAAACTGTTTTACTATTTCGGGCAGTTGTGGGGCACGGCAAAGAAACTTATGGCCATAACCCGCATCACCACTAAACCGATGAAATTCAATAGGACCCCACGCTTTTGCTCGCGTATCCAATGCGGTCCGATATAATTTATATCCCAGTTCGAATGGAACGACATAATCATCTTCGGCATGAAGTATCATTACCGGTTGTCGAAATTTAGATATATGCTGATCCGATTCGAAACGCAAATTGTTCGTGTACATCGGGCGCGCTATAGTCATATCAAACCAAGGCAAGTCCTTGAACGGCTGCAAAATAATTTATTATTATTATTGTTATTTATTAAGGCAATATGTAAAATCTCAAAAAGTAGTTTAGCAACGACTTAAACTCACTCGTGCGAATGGATGTAATCTTATCTCGTCGCGTATGTTAGTAAAAGGCGCTTCCAATATAACGCCACGTGGTAAACTCATTTTGAAATTCAAACTCAATTGTGAGCACAGATGACATGCCACTCCTGTACCCAGTGAATGGCCCCAAACAAAAACAGGATTCGTTGTAACGTTTCTAATATATTCATATACAGTTAAAGCATCGCGCACAATTCCCTCTTCGGTGGGTGCAACGGGATCAGAATCTCCATAACCGCGATAGTCTAAGGACAATATATGATACCCAAGTTTGCGTAACACCTGGTACATCTCAACACGATGTCCAGAGCCGCGAGACGCAGTGTTGCCATGCAGATATAAAACTATTGATCCGGGAAGTTTAAGCATGCGCTCATAAAATAACTGTTCATTCTCGGCGGTCACTTGTGGAAATTCAGATTTTAGTACGGGTAATAATTGCTCTAATTCTTCATTTTTTTCAACTGCTACATTTTCTAATTCTTCGTGCGCTTGCTGTGAAAAAATAGTTAATTAGGAAAGTCGAGCTAAGTCTATATAACAACAATTTACCGCATCAATGTTCAGTTCTTGCGCAAAGCGCTTGGCCAACTGCAAAGGCAGAACGTGCCACACACCAATCCGTACTCCATCATGACGTTCCTCAGCGTCCGGATCAAGTACGCTGAGATTAAGACTTCTAGTGCCAAAAAGGCCAACCGTTGCCGGGTTTGAGAGATCGAGATCTTTGGGGTATGTGACTATGAAAAATTATACTATTATTATTATGCGAAAATTTGGTTGTGGAAAATACTTACTAAATGTAAGAAAAAGTATGCCTCTTTGCAGTGTTATAGAATATCGAAATATTAATGGAAACCCTACAAATATTAGAAGAAATACTAGCATGCATAATTGTACTACGGCCAGTGAAATTCTGTGAAAGAGAAAAAATAGAAGTGGATTAGAAATGCAAATTTATACAATATAAAAAGCACATAAATTCATTGGTTAAAGCTGTGAAAGATGCAGTAAATTGCCTCAATGCCAAAAAATAATTAATTTTCTGTACATTTACAAATTTTATTTCATGTTTCACGCTAAATGATTCTCGATTATAAAAAATTGGTAATCATTGAATCGACTGTTGCAATGTACATAGATGGCATGCAAAGCATAAGCATCTCAGCACACTCATAAGATATAAAAAATTTAAAAGTTAGCGATCGATTACAAGAATATTCTTTTTTTGTGAACTTAAATAGAGATTTCGACTTCTACTTTTTAGTTTACATAACCAAGCAAACACTTTATACTGGTATACTTTTTTAATAAAAGTTACAATTAATATCATTTACTTAAATTTTAGTGGAAAAGGAGATAAGTGTAGCAGAGCCGCAATAGAGTTTTAATAAAATATAGTCTAGCAATAAGCGCAAGCAGAAATAAATTGGTATTTTTAATTCTTCCTTTTTTTATAATTGTAAAGAAAAATACAAAAAAATGTTACATTTAAAATATTGTATTACGGTTAGTACTAACAAAATTTAGAATAAATAAACATATATAAGTTTGTATGTAGAATTAGCGTACTTACATCCCAGTCAGCCAAATTAACATTAATGCTCCCGGAATGACTGAAGCACGGAATATGACGTTTAGGAATTTATATGATTCGTACATTGTAAAACAGTTTGTATATGCTTGTAAATTGTAAAATGAAGTTGTGGCAGGAGTCTCAGTCAATGGTTGCAAGTTGTTGTTTAATGACATTAAATTTCTCTCTCCAAATGAATGGTTCAAAGGAAAACCAGCATTTCACTTGAGAAAAGTCAAAATAAGTAGCCAAATCTAGATATGACCGCTGTGTCACATGAATTCAATCAAAAGGTTTGGGGGGGTACTGTAGAGATTGCGACAGGTATTTTTATGTATGTTTGTTGATTCCTATGTGAGCGATATTAAAAATGCAGTAAATTATGAAACTCTTTTAGATACTACACATCAAGCTGGAAATGGTTGCTTATTTGATTGAAGATATGGGGAATACGTTCGTGTTTTAATTGTTTTTATTTGCTTAAAATTTGTATCGCTATTAGATATTAAAAAGGTATTTGTGCATTTGTCTTATGATTACAGACAAATTCACTAAGTCTGTCAGCAATTTTTACTATATTGTTGTATAAAACATGGAAAAGAGAAGAAAATAATTGTTTTATTAGCATTCACTATGAAATTCGAGAAATAAACAGAAAAATTGCAGATAAAATAAACTAATTAAATTGACACAAACTAAAAAATACAATTTTAATGGAACTCAAGTTAGTAAAACAACTACGACGACAAATGCAAAAAAAAAACAAATAAGTGTACTACAAACAAATCAAGCTTAAATGGTCGAATAAACAGTGAATGCAGTTAATATTAGATATTTATTTGGAATAATTTCAGTACACATCAACAAAATAGACAAAAAAATCACGTACGGCGGATATTAACAGCTAGAAAAAAACTTATATTTTATTCATTAGAGTGACAAGTGCACATTCAGCAGGAAGACTTTTAACCTTTAACTAGCATTTAAAGGATTTCAACCGTTAATTTGGGTAGAATTGTGTATTCAAATTTTATGTATGTGTATACATATGTGTGTATGTATATCTATACCTGCGTCGGAGCATTTTTCATTCACTGAGCAATGTACCGATGAAAATCCAAATTTGAGATTAAACACAAAAACATATTATATTTATTACGGTTATTAGGTTACACCTACAGAATATAATTTTTTAATAGTTATTATTAGTTAAATTGTTGATATCGAAATCAAAATGGTTAATAACTGCACAAACAAGTATTTCAAGGCTTCTAACTGAAATTAAGCTTTAAACTACTTTATCTCAACGGTATTGATTTATATGTTAAATATCAATTTAAAAATTATGTATGAATTACATCTATCCAACATTCACATGTATTATAGTTTAGATAATATAATTTGTGACAGTCACCTTTTGAAGAATTTCCGTTTACGCGTTAAAAACATAACTAGAAGTAGAAAAGCGAAAAAATGTAAGTTAATGTAAATACATACATACATTTCAGTTAAAAACTAAACTAAAGCAAACACATTAAAAATACATGTGTAAACTATCTATATCTTTATATCTCCTAAGAGAGTTATAACGAAAAACTATATACAAATGCATCTATAATAATACAGTGCAACTGTATAGAGTGTTATGTCGGTGGCAATGAACTCGTGCATAATGTACAATATGATGAGTTATTGAAAACGTCTCCTACATATGACTATATCCGTGCGCATATGCGAATATTTGCCGCTGTTATATGTATATATGTATGTATGCATATATACGTATACTCATATGCAAGTATGTACATATATATTAAATGTGAATATGTTGAGATGTTTAGATTACAATATATGAGGTTAATAATAATGAAACATAAAATATTGAAACAAGTTGAGAACGATTTTTAATAATGCCTTAGGGAATTCAAATTTCCGACACTTTTAAATGCATGCATGTGTTTATGTACACATGTATGTATGCATGTTAAGAAAAAGTGACTCAAATACAAAGCAAAGGGCAGCAACTGAGCTTATCACTACTTCCCTAATGAAGAAACCAGTATGGATGATACAACCACTGAAATTTCGCCAACTCACAGACAAAAAATCTTTTTGATTTGTATTATGTAAAGTTATCTATTAATCAATTTGCAATGAAAGCTTGAAATAATAGCCAAAACACTACTATCTATGTATGCTTTTATGTATAGAACTATCAGTAAAAAACACTTTAGCGAATCGCAAATAAACCGCAACCACGCAGATATTTTCTAGCTCAGTTATTTATTTTAGACAAAACTTTTGTATTAAAATTCGAGAAATGTGTATTTCGACAAAATTTAAACAGAAAGAACTCAACGTGCGCATATGTTCAGGTAGACCGCGTCTAACTTGCGAGTAAGACTGCCTACGCTTTTCACTCCCGTTGATGACAAACGATAATGACATTTGAGAACAGCATTCATGAATAGAAACACTCTCATTTTTAATCACTCAGCTGGGCCATTATCATTTGTATATTATTGCGATATGGACGACTTGCTTTGATAGTACCTATTTATAGTAGTTTTAGCCAAATTTGAAAGTTAAAACAAACTACTCATTATTAGTACAACAAAAAAGAGTTGTTTTTAAAGAAAATAAAACATTTACTGCGGTAAACTTTCACTTTTTGGTTCCGAGGTATGGACTTTGATTGTCCGCAGAACTTCTTCTGAGAAAACGACACCTATTAGTTTTTGTTTTAATGAGTAGTAGTTGTTCATATCTTGTTTGGAACACAATTGGTAGTATTACTTATAAATTGACCTATCCCGCTTTTGAAATGACAAAATAATATATGCAAATCGAATGCAGTTTTTTACTGCCCCATTGAAAAGTACCTTGTTCTTGATAAATCAAATTAAATTAATTATACAAATTATATTACCCATTTGGACAAAATGATAGTAAAAATTGCAGCTCTGGCCAAAATCAGCTCAAAAGATTCCAATTTATTCATACGGCAATTACTAAATTATAATTTATCTGAAAATAAAAATATTAAAAACAAATTATTTTAATATTGTATAAAATTTAATTTTTTTTATTTATTTATCAAAAACAAAGGATTAGTACAATAAGATTTTCATTTCTTTTTAGTACTCTAGAAATAGTGTAAAAAACAGTATTATTATAATCAAGATACTTTAAAGTTTACAAAAACATAAATAATATATAATAATATAAATATATAAAATGAAAGAAATTGAAATAACTGATAAATGGACAGTCTGTTCTAAAATGCATATATGTATATATGATTCTTTAAATTGCTTTTGTTAAATTTTCTCCATAAATTAGCAGGAAGAGTGTTCGACTATCATTGACAAAGAACAGCCTAACTGCTGTTTTAGCGACTACAACAAATACAGCGTAATTGATTGATTTATGAAGGTGCACGCTAAAGAATAGAATGGAGTTAAGTTTAGACAAATATTCATTCAGTTTTATGGACAGGGGTAATATAAAAGTATTCGCGAATTTCAACGAGCACTTTTCACCTTAGAAAAATCGGTTACTTTATAAAATTTCATTTCTAGGTTTGAAGGATTATTGGAATAATAACGAATAATAACAGCAACTCCAATATTAAGAAATCAATATATTTTCTATTGGGAGTAGAACATTTCTACTAAAAAACATGCGAAAAATACATAGCATAGTTGTATAAGATAAACAAATCAGTATCGATTTTCAATAACCACAGTATCCAGTACTTGTTTTGTTCCATATTTAAACTTACATTTGCTATAATATTTGTATTTACATTTTCTTTTCACTTTTTTGTAATAATTTTGTTTACAACAGGAAATTTTTGCAGATATAAATTCAGTTATTATTATTGAAATGTTAAATCCTCAAACTCGTATCAAATCCCAAAAAAATGTTTCACTTGTTTTGTCATTTATCAGCTGTCAAACTTAACAGGGTTGCTGTGCTGAAAAGACATAATGCTATTTCACACTTTATTCTTTGTAAAAGCACGTAGCCATCAGATATTTCGATAAAATATATATAGAAAAATGAATAACTATACAAAATTTTAATCTACCAAACGACCAAAGAACGTAGATTAATAATAATATTAATTAATATACGTTTTATGTAATGACACATTGAAATCGTAGATAAGAGGCACAGATGACCAAAATAAACTCCCCCCTGCGGGTTAGGGGCTCAAGAATTTACCAGCGGTAAGGCATGCCTGTCGTAAGAGGCGACTAAAATCCAATAGTTCCCGCGACAGTCGGGTCTTTATACCGGAACGACCCGGATTTTTATCCGGCCAAGGACTGTCACTCTCACAACATTCCCCAAAAATTACTTTGGGGAATAATTTTGCGGTTACAACAACAACAACAGCAAAATAAACTCGTATTAAGAGCGTTGATTCCCTACGTTTTGTTTATTATTATTGTATTATTATTATAATATTTTTAGCAAAATTACATATATAACTTGCTTGCTACAGTTTTTGTTACTTTCTTCTATTTCTTTTCCTTATTAGCAATTAAAATAGTCATTCACAATTAAGGCATACTTAAAGACGGTTACGCCATCCAGAGCTCATACACACCCAAGCCATGCAAATCGAAACAAATGCACTGGAGACCCAAGCTTGAAAGTTTTCTGCCTTCACGCACACAACAATGTCATTTGGAGAAACCAATAATAAGCCACACTATGACAGCTGTAGACCTATGCTATAACATTAATATCGCTTATTCTTTTGCGTGGCATTGAGAACACATACTAGAATTGTATCTATGGCAGCAGCTACTATAAATGCCTCAGTTTACATTCGAATCGGAAGCTGCTGCGATGAGCTTTTTATCTGTATTGTACACAGCTTTTGATCGAGAGCGTGGGAAATCTGATTTCCTAACTTTAAGGGATACTCACTGCACCAAAAGAGGCTTTTTACGTTGTGTTTTTATGCGGCAAAGGCCGGCAAACCACCCACTGGTATGAAACGCTTAAGAACCAGTTAGCCATGATATTAAAACAAAATTCAAATGCATCGATGAGATATACTGAGTTGCGGTTTAAAGCGTACTGCAGTAGAAAAAGTAGCGCTACTTGCTGAAGTAGTTAGTACAAAACTCTAATAGGCAAATACATACGTATGTTTGAGAAATGCAATAAAAAAAATGGACGATCAAAGAATCTCGATCACTTCTCCTTTCGCGTTCCCTTAAGTCGAAGCTTTTTCTTGCAAGTTTAGGAAAAACAAAATGTAGCGATTGTGATGAGATTGATTTGTTGTCGTTCTTTGTAGTTTCACCAAAGTATTTGCAATGTGAACTATAATTCAACGGATGGACAATAACTCAAAACCAAAATCCAGGTCAAGATTTACCGTTATATCGGCTGAACGTACGAAAGATAATTGGCACTGAAAGAGTTTCAATGCTGCAGCAACAAACACTTTTAAGGCAGTTAATTGATGAATGATACCGTTACTATGGTGACCACCTGCTGATACCATATGAGCAGTTCGGTATGCATGGACAATTTTTTATTATATACAAATATGTGTATATAAATAGACTTATATTTTCTGTAAGTCTGATATATTCCTGCAGTTTGTTCTTAATCGTTTAGGGAATTAAAACAAATTTGGAAAATATTGGCTATAAAAACTTACCCAAGATTTAAGATTTAAGAGTTTTGAGTTTTTATTATAATTAATTTAAGAACTTATTTTTTAAAGCGTTTGCTGTTAATATTTTCGTTAGTTTCAGTAATAGTAATTAAAACATAATTTATGCTAATAAACGTTACCTTGTAAAAAATGCCATTTCTCGTAAAAATTATAAGAATTCTTTCCAAAACTCAGATGGATTTTAACTGTTGATTCGGTTCTCCGCGAATAGATCCGTTAACTATAGACGAATCACAAAAGCGGCTCAGTGGCTTCTTCCCTTCGCTCTTTGGCAGCAATTGGTGATATTAAAAGCTCCTTGTCATTTTCTCTAGCCGGTCTTCCTCGTCTGCTGTTTCCAAAATCGAGCATTTTATTGCGTAATTTCAGGGGGGGGGCAGGGTTTCGAAGGCAGAAAAAAACAGATTTTTACAGATTTTTTTGGGCGTACGGTGAAAGTAAATTTATTTCTGATTATTGTACATTAAAGAGTAGTAATTGAACTATATTCTGTGATATATTGGTTGAAAAATATTGAAAATTGACCGAATGGCAGCAATTCTTCGCAGGCGCCTCAGAAAAAATACATTTTGCGGTGCACGTCATACCTCAGAACTGGATCATCTGAAATGAAATAACCAAAGGTATCCCTGACGACTTTTTTTAAATTTTTGAACTTTTTACAAGACTTGAAAGTGAAAATACCGATTTTTGGCCAAAATTCATGACTATTGTTGTTAATAATAAAAAACGAAAAAATCTCGACAGGGTTACCTCATAAATTATGTAAGGAAATACTGTAAAAAATTTGAGAACGATCGGTTGAATAGATTTTGAGATACAGAGTGCACCGACTCAAGAAACATCGATTTGGGAAAAACGCGTTTAAAGTTTTTCGTAGCTCAGGTAGTCGTTCGAGACCCGCCGTCTTCCAAAGCTATATCTTTGTGAGTTTTGCTCCGATTGACTTCCTATTTACAGACAACATTCGTGAGCTACTATACTTTCATAATATGCAATAAAATCACTTTTTTTGAACCCTCAGTGCCAGTGCTGGAGTGCGGACGAACTACTAATTTATTTCACCCCAGAAAAAAAGTAGTATAAATTTTGGCATTTAAAGATTTGTTAAATAAAAATGTATATATATATATATGTGTGTATGGAAGCTTGAGCAAATTTTACCATAACCGTATGCTATAAAGATAGATTGCAAGCAACAAAACGCTCCTCTAAACTCCATGTAGTCGAAACCGCTTCATTTATAGGATTTTTTAAGCGTTGATTTTGCCTGTAGTGTCGTATCGTTATACCTTCACATCCAACCATAAATCCACATACACTCATACATACTTGTCAGATGTCGCTTCTTTTTTATAATGCATTTCTCAGCACCACCGTCTAGCCGCATCGCATCGCACCTAGTTCTTGGGAAAATCGCACAAAGTTCAACATCAGCACGATTTATCGTTTTCCTTGTGCGATGCTCGCCAGCTTTCTCAGTGCGTTCAATTTGGATGAGCGTTTTTGCTTGATTTTGCTTTGCTTTGTTTGTTTTTGATTTTCCTTGAAAGCGCCCTTGCCAAACGTGTTAATAGCGTTTTCGTAAAATAAAGCATAAAAGTTGTAAAATTCAAATTTAATTTATATAACATTTTATTGCATTGGCTTGTACACAAATATAATACAATAAAAATAAAAATATATATGTAATATACAATAAAAAATTACAAGAATAATTGAGCTAACAGCGTTCGCTGTTCGCCGTTCGCCTAAGCTCCAACTAACGTTCTGATGTCCACGATCACTTCGCCGCCTTTCTTCTGCCCGTCTTAGCTTGCAACCGTCGCACTTCTTATGCAAACATAATAATTTATTCAGTAAACGCTTGTTGCAAATTGCTTCCAAAGGTGTCTAAACAGTAACTTCTTTGCCGTGAGCTTCGTGAACTCAGGTACCGTATCGCGTCAAACGGCCAATAGCCAACGATAAACGGCCAATAATAGGCGCCATTCGATATCTGTGCGTTGCATATAAATGCATTTTCATTTTTTCATTTGTAACAATTAGATTTCTGCTACTGTTGTTTGTCTGGTCGAAAGAAAAAATTCAAACACTTGTCTGCCGGATTCATAGCGATTCTTTTTTTTTTCTAGTCACCACTTTTGTAGTCACAATGAGCATACAAATCAAAGGACTTAAGACACGAACTCAAGTTGGCAAGTGGGGCATACAAGTATACATACGAGAATGTTCTATAATGGCACATAAATAGATATCTAGGTGTTCATATTCCATTTGCAGTAATTATATATTATATGTATATGTGTGTAACGCTTTGAAATTATTTGTTTACAGGATAATAAATGAAAATGGTCATGGAAAATATCTGTATGTGAAATTAGTATGTATATACATATGTTTGCATATATTTTTAGAAAATTTTAGATATAGAGATAAATCTTATCGGACGTTGCAGAGGCTAATTGTAATTAACCCTTCTATAATAAACTGAAAGTGGTAATTTAGATTGCAATGGAGGTAAACTGTGCACCATAGGCTGAGATGATTCTTAGGCTAAAAATTATAGCCACCGTAATTATGTATAAGAAAAGATCTTAGTTTCTTATCCTCCATGTTGTCAGTTATAAGCATTGGTTTTCTTCTTCTCCTTAGCAACAGTGTGCCAATTGTTTTTTATTTTCGACGTTTGTCGCCAATTGGAAAAACTGAGTGTACCTTCCTATTCCTTCGCTTCCACCGGCTGCTACTGCGTTAAGACCTTTGGAAGCTGACCCGCTGTCTCTTGATTCGCCGTATAACTTTTACAGCTGATCGTTCCAGTATCTCATCGTCCCCAACGCGCATAGGACCATAAATCGTCAATGCATTCGGTCCATATTTTTACTCGACGTGTGAGGACTTTACTTTTCAAGTGCCTACTCAGCTCAAAGGGGCACCTGTCGGCAAGAGTGACTTAGCTCCTTTCGTGCTGCCGAAGGTTGCCGTAAGATCGAAAGTGATGTGTTACGATCTTCTCTTCACGGGTATTTTACAAGATTTGCCATGCTGAATATCTAGTCAGTCAGATCTACTGAAGCAAAATATATGGTTGAGACGTCGGTATCATGCCGAAATAGATTTATTTAGGGATTCCTCTTCCGATAACTATTTGAATAAGTTTTTCATATCTATCTTATTTATTAAATACATATATTTCAAAATATGTCTCACACTGTTGCTGTAATTTATTAATCTTTAAACAAATCCAATTTTGTCTACCACGAGATTGGTATCGAAGTTTTCACTCGCCGTTTGTGTGAGCAAAACGCAAAGAGTGCAAAACGCCAAGCGGCCAAACTTATACCCACACACACTTTCAGATAAGCAAATATACACGCCAAAACGGGCAATTGACTGTTCGTTGTACAAAAGCAAATAAGAAGAAGAAGAGGAAAAAACCGAGTATGTATTTGCTTATTACGATTAAGTAAAACAATAACTCCATTGACATCAATAAATACAAAATATAGAGCGTGGGAAATTCACACATTCATTGCTCTCAACTCTCAGATACCAGCTTCCAGCTCCCAGCTCCAAATAGCGAGGCAGATAACGTCGACAGTATTTGCAGACAGCGGTAACGACGACAATTTCAATTAAAATTTAAATAAATTCGGACTTTCCAATAAAAACATGTACAACTAGTACGAGTACATCACTACTGATTTCTGATCACTACTTGTTCTGATGGGTTAGTGGACAAAAATGGCAATGGATGTGAATAAAATTGGAGCACGCTGCCCGTCTGCTACCGCGCGTCACGTTGCGCAGTGCCGCTTGGCTATGGCGGTGAGCCTGTCGATGTCGGCAGCTTGCAGCGAGCGCCACAAAAGTTGCCACCAAAATGGATTAGTTCGATTTGAGCGCGCGCGCGCAGACCATCTAGCATGCAGATGCATACATACATGTGCGTACATATATATTATTGTGGTTATTGTACATAGGTCTGCGCTGCTGGCAAGGCAGATGAATGGATTCCTCCATCGTCTAACTTTGCAATTTTTGACTGCGCCGCTGTTGTGAAGAGTGCGCCACATGCGTTTAATGCCGAATTGACAGAGACAACAAAATCGTGCAGAGCGTCTTTGTTGGTTGGATGCATAAAGCGAGTGTGACAAAAATAACTGACCAAAGGCAAAAAATTCGTTCACTTACATACGAATGTACATACATAGATGGCGGCGGCAGTTGTGGTAGCTTCATACAACATTGTATGTATGTATGGACATCGTTGACTGATCTCAGCATCAGTGATCAACCTGTCAACATATGCAAACATTTTTAGACTAACGAAGCGTGGAAAAGTGGTCGTGAATGCGTTGGTGTTATCAAAAAAAAAAAATGAAATGGAACATGCGTACATACGTATACACATACATCCAAGCATACATATGTACATACATACTTACGCTCGCTCAACAATACCACGTTCCTATTACTGCACCACGGTTGTTAATAATGAAATAAATAAAGACTCAAAACATGACACTGTGACCAGCGACAGCCAGCGCAATCAGTCAATTAAACGTTCAAATTGTGGTTAGATGAAATGCCGCAAGGAAAACAATAAACTCAGCTTATACTTCGGCTTATGCCAGCGCATGTGTGTGTAGCTATACCGTTAGCATGGCATTTGCGCGAGTAAGTATAGTGCAAAAATTGTAATAAATGGGGACAAACGGCATTGTAACGGTTTTTAGCTGTATTTCTGCACAGATACTTCATATTTATATCAGAGGTATGTTAACTTTGTTCAGCTACCGGCCGCTTATAGTATCACAAAGAGTTCTATGTACATACATTTAAAAAAAAATAAAATTCATAAGATGGATTGTCCGTAAAGGGCATAAGTTGAGCGAAGATTGAAGATTATCCTCAATGTAAATGACATGGCAACAGATGCGCTCACAATTTGTATAAGTATAAGGGAAAGTGAACTTGCCTAGGCCTCTATCTATGATGTTTGGTCAAAAGCAATAGCTGCTTTCATATAACATAGTTTGTAATTCCGTCAGCGGCATCGTCCGATCATGAACATATTTTCTTCTTAATCACAATATACGCCTTCCTTATCTCCGGTAGCCAAGGGGAATTTCAGATACATATTTAATGTACGATTTCACCCGAATTTCTTTCTTTCTTATTGTCCGCAATTCCTGGCCATATTTATAACTAAAATTATAGAAAAGTTAATAAAAATAATTTAATTTGATTAAATACTCCAACTGCTGTCGACCCTCGGCAGGAAATATCAATCCCCCCGAGTATATTTCTGACACGAAACAAAAGCTCCTAATGAAAATCTAACAACCCTTTACAATAGGAGCTCGGCAGAAAATTGCTTTAACGATTAAAAAGCGCAGGGTAACTGCATATTTATATATAAAGGCTCATTCCAAATTGGCTGACGGATCAACTCACAGTCCAAACCACTGGTAGTAGAGATCTGAAACTTGGAGGGTGTGCTCTGTGTATTCCCAGGAACCGATCTATTCGAAAAATTGAATTGAATTGAATTTACTCATTTTGTTCGTCAGGTTGGCAACATGGTTGTGTAGCCAGACTTTTCCTCTTTGCAAGTTAGTTCGTTAAGAACTGTCCAGATGCGAAATACGCTTCTCCCTCTGTTTGAGCAATGACAGATCATACACGATAAACGGTACGAGGAATTAATTGCCTCATTTTGATTTACTGTCCTAACACTTTCAGATTACTATCTCTTTAGGGTTTGTCCATAAGCCACGTACTCATTTTTTAGGCCTTCCGGAACTCCTCCCTTCCTTCCGATGGAACGTGAATGTGTATCCATACCTTTACTTTAAATAAATAACCTATTAAATTTGAATAACAAGTAATTTTCTAATATATCATACGATTTAATAAATATTTAGTAATAGTTAATAAATTATTTATTAAGAGCTTATATTATATAATTTTTTCATCTCAAGATAATTTCGTATCTTTGCTTCCGCCTCCTCACCCCGCTTACGTGTTCATATCGTAGCATTTATACCAACTCTCCTACCTCTTAGCTGAGCAACGTTATTGAACAAGAATGATTTGGATTTATGAAGTTAAATATCAGTATGGTTTTCATAATATTCTTTAGATTTTTATTGTGTTCTGGAATATAATACTTCAACAAATTTTTGGAATAGTGGTTTATTTTATAGAGCAAAAAGTTGTTACAAGCACAAACATTGAGTACAACCAATGCAAGAAATACAGAGAATCAGCATAGGCAGCTCATCAGATAACTTGTGAGTGCCCTGGGTTCGGTAAAAAGAGATTGACTTTACTTGGTGAGAAATTACAGCAGAACCGTGAGTTAAAGCGCTTGAAGTAAGCGTTAAGAGAGTAACAATGTTCTTCAAGCTAGAAACACAATAAAAATTTTTGCAATACAGTACTTAAGTACTATGGAGAGATTTCCGAAACCACTAGAGATGATTTATCGCCTATTTGTGTCTCTCTATGCAGAGTGTGCTTTCAAGTGCTGCATAATAACCCAGTCCCTCGGCGATCCCTTTCAATAAAATCTGTCCTATGAGCAATCCATTAGCCAACGATATTTTTATATACATCCATACATATGTACTTACATGAAATGGTCATCAAAAACGGTAGAAGAATCTGGAATCCGCAGACAATATTCTATAATATATATATACATATGTATATATACATATACATATATTGCACACATAATTACGTATTTATGTAGTATATTTATGCTGAATAATGAATAACGTCCTGAGTTGGAGGAATGTCGTAAAAATCCTTTAACTTGCAGAACTGTCATATGTAAATATGATCATGCACATATGTACATATATTTGATAACTCTCGAATCCGGGACCACAAATTTTACGACAAAACAGTACGAAAAGTAACAACCTATTCAAATATGTAGTAGGTTGTAAGATCATGCCTCGAATGCGCTTTTGCATACATCCGTATATACCTACAAATGTACAAAAATTTCAAAAAAAAAAAAAAAATAAATAAATAATATAAAATAAAAATAAATGATGTTATGAGCGAATAAATGGTACCCGATATGCATATCTTTTCAATCAATATCAGTATTCTCACGGATGATTCCGCTAGCTGATGCCCATTTCAAATGAATACATATGTATGTATGTACATACATACTTACGCGTGTGTATGTGTGTAATATGAAAATGTATGTAAATAGATGGGTGGTACACTGTGATTATTGCATGTGAAAATGTTTTTCTACGAAGACATTCGTCAAATGTATCACCCTGAACAATATGACATGCACACACATAAACTCAGTGCATAGCACATACTCATACATACAGCCGCACATGCATACGCCGAGCATTGAAGAGCTGGGCGCAATCACCAACCAACAGCAACAGGAACACCAACACACTGAACACCGGCATCTTAGCGCTTTCGTTTCGTTCGTTGTCGTACCAAATGAGGCGAGCTCAAACTTGTCGTCATTTGGCGTAGCTCCACCTTAAGCAACGGTAAAGTAATCAACCGATCAGTGGACAGCAATAACAGTGCTAAAACAGCGTCAGAAGCAAAATAAAAATAAAAATAAACACTAAAACAAACAACAACAATAACAAAGGCCCAGCAGCAGTAGCTGCAGCGGCAACAGCAATAACAATTCAATGACAACAGCTGCTGGGAGTTCTTGACGGCCGGTGGCACGGCATAAAACGTCTAAACGGATACTAAAGTCTGTGTTTACTGTTGAATGGCATGGTAAGTTCGCGCTGTGTGTGTGTGTGTGTGTGAATGTATGTACGTATTTATGATTACAACAAAATGAGCAAATAAATAATGATGCAGCAACAACATCAATAACAACAAGAGCTAAAGAAGAAGAAGTGCTTGTTGCACCCACTTGAAGTTAACAACTAGTAAACTAGCCAGCCAGCCAACGCGCCGACAGGTAGTGTGGTGAGTTTTATTTGAATTTTCATATTTACCTTCATGCTGCGGCTGTCCCAGCAGCGCCGTTTGCCCGTGTGCGCTGCGTCGCTGTATACAACGAGGGTGTGGGGAACTTCGGGTGATGGCTGCTGGCTGTTGGCTGTTGTGCCTCTTCATCCAACAGCAGCAGTGATCGCTGGCTTTGGCGCTTCACGCCAATTCATGGCCCCGGCTGCGAGGCAAGCGCATTCGTAGCATCCAGTTCGATATTTTTCTGCAAGGTAGTGTGACGTTCGCGCGCTTAAATCAACAAATACGGTTGAAAGCATGTTGCGATCAACGCCGGCTAATTGAAGTGTGTTGTTTACAACTTTCGTCGCGCTTTGCCGTGATTTTGTCGTCGATTGTGTGGCAAGAAGCATTTGCTTGCTAATCTTATACCGGTTGTTAACACGTGCAACAATCACAGTTAGCATTGAAAGAAAAGAAAAGGAAGAAAAGTGCACAATGATTATACAAGTAGATTGCATTCTCAATTGAAGTGTTCTAATTGATACTTTGTGTTGTTGTAAATCGCGACGATCGATGGAAAAGAAGTGTCATAATGAAAATGTTAAGCAATTCGCGGCTTTTATATTCATCTATCCAAGCCATTGTATGTTCGTATATGTTGCATATACATATGAATGTATATCTTTGGACCAGCGGACTGACTTCAAAAACTTGTAGAGAGCATACATACATACAATAAACAAGGTTCCTTACAGAAAGAGCGAAATAGGCAAAGGAAATCATTTAACAAAAAATAAAAATTCGTGTTTAAATTCATAAATAAACTTTTCAATGAGTGATGAATAATAGTCAATAAAAACCCTCTATATATATTTGAGTCACAGTTGAACATTCGATTGTCTGTATCCTGGTCTAGTGTCTGATAAATTATTTCATAAGAGATCCGACTCAGTTGCTACCCTTATTTTGTGATAAAATAATTCTGCTAATAATATGTGAAATTACATATTAATATACATAGCAAAGAAGAGATACCAAAACAGCTTTAACATCATGAGGGAAAAATAATTAGCTGACACTGATTAATCACATGGAAATAAGTTCCGCTGGAATCCTTATTTCAATTGTTGGTCATTTTAGTCCCGTGCGAATGTCATGCTTATTTTGCAATTATAATAAAACCGTCTGTACTTCCTTATCAATCTTAGCGCCAGTTAAATAAAATATCACAAGTTTATATTAATTTCAAAATAAAATGTTTCAAATTGTTCTTCAGCAAAAACTTCACGATCGACCTGTGCGTGTATTTTGGCTTGGGCTACTTCTTCTCCTACTTGGTCTGGTAGTCGTTTGTATTACAAAATAAGTCGGGAGTATTAAATTAAAGTCTGAGTTTCTAGCATCTAATATTATTTCGCTTCTTATGTATTTATTTATACAAACATATATGTATATGTATATATAGCGAGTTTGCCGCCGCAAATATTGGGACTCATCCATTCATACGCCTACTCGTATGTTATTATGTTTAAATGTGCAAATGTTTGTAGATATGTGCTTTTCCTACATTTTTGGCGCGCCTTTTAAAAAAAATAAGAATCAACAAAGAATATTAGGCAATCAGATGCTGCTGTGCACTCAAAGGGTGGGGTTACTTTGAAGGTGTTCATTAAAATGACATAAAATGTCTTTTCAGCGTTTGATGTGAATTTTACGGCATACGAGGTTACTCAGAAAACATGTTTTTTATTTCAAAAATTACTTATTTCTTAACAATTATAATTATATATAATTTAATTATTAAATGTTTTGCAAACCTCTTTTGGCCTGTAATTTTTCCCCCGGAACTCCTTCTCTTTCCCTCTTTTAAGTCGCATGCAGAAAAAATCGGAACGATTTAGTGAATTAATTGTTTCAGAGCTGAGTATTGGTCGATGCTCTGCTTTAAATAAACTAGAAGTATCGCATATAGTTTATATACACACATACATATATATATATATATATATATATATATATATAATTGTCGCTTTGTAACTGCCGCGCGATTTTGAAGCTCCTCCTCCAAATGGAAGGACATGTGGTTTAATCTAATCCAACACCAATGGATTTTTTTGGGAAGCTTTTCATGCCGGAAGTACTCTATGACGGCCGCAATCAGCAAAATGATTGTATATAATTTTGGATGGTTAGCCAGAGCAAAGCTCGAGCCTTGGCCTTCCCAGTATGAGTACATAATGCTAACCACTCATTGGATTCAGATGCTAATTATGATTGATATTTACTAGCAAAAAAAAAAGAATCATCCATTCCGAAAAGTACACTCCTAATCCGTGTATTCAAACAGTTTAGTTGCATCCGAAATTTCCAAAGGCGTCAACACTTGCTCTGTGGTGTGGTACTACATAGATACGAGCATGAGTCTATTTACTTGTATGTTGTTATGTATGATGTATGTGAGATGGTGTTCCGTTGCACAGTCATGGGTGGTGCCAATCAAAGCCAATTGCTCACAATTGAAATTCCGAAAAATGATAAAAACCCATCAGCGCACCCAACCTACAAATAAATAATATGAATACGAATACCGACTGAGAGCAAGCGGGTAAGCGTTAGCCACCGAGCCGTGACAAGCTGCCACAAGCTATTTTAACTGTGTTTTTTTTTTTTATGATACTTACGAACATACATACAAATGCATTTGCATCAACCACACCGCTGAAATCATCGCGGTAGGTGCTACCATATCAGACGCCGCCGCCATCAACGCACTGACGGAACGGACGGGACGGACGCGACCAAACTCCTCCACAACTATTTTTTGTTTTATGATTTTGTTTAACAGCACATTCGTATGTGTTATAATAAAAGCGCATACGTACTCGCACTGACAATAGTCCAAATGTATACATACATACATATGTACATATGTATATACTTCATTTGTGTGTTATAAATGTGATGATCTTAAAACGTGGTTAATACCGGATATCCAACTTTAGTGATTAAGAAAAACAACAGCAACAACAACATGCTTTGACGTGATTTACCATACTGACAAGTATATAAATATGTACTAATGTGCATGTACGAATACATAAATGTGATTTGAATGATCAAATATTACATATGATACATACACACATACACAGAAGGCATCCAATGCTTTATACGCACTTGCCAAAATCTATGTACTTACATATGTATGAATATTTCGGTATGCGTGTGTGTACGTAAATGAAAACTTTTGTGTATAGTATATAACTCAATTTCATAGCTAAACAACAACAACATTCATTCTTTTACCGATTTCTTGTACAACAATCGCCGGCATTGCCGCCGCGTCTCAGTCGCGCCGAGCGTGCGTTCATTGGAGTGGTGCAAACCTCTTTCTGCATCGTAAATTTTTCGTTTATGGACCTCAGAGACGACACTGGTCGTTTGATTATTGCGCGCAGCACGTCGCGTCACGCACCGTAAGCATCGCCTGCTCCCCTGTGAGGCTTGCGCATCCCCCGTCTTGCATAAGCCATCAACCAGCAACCAGCAACCATCAGCCATCAGCCATCAGCCGTGTGCCGTAAGTGCCATATGTGCATATATAAGTATGTATGTATTTGCACAATATGCATCAAACGTGCGCCACTGCATCAATTGTGCCAGTTTTGCTTGAATTCCTTATTGCAGACATTTGTTAGTAATAATTGTGGTAAAGACAAAGCGCACAAAGCAGCCGCAGTGGCTAAACTACCAGAAACAACAAGAGTAACAACAACCATCGTCATCGTCATCATCATCATCACCATCGGCAACAACAGGTGTCATTGCATTTTTGCGCGGTGCTCGGCGTGTGTGTCTACAGTGCTGTAGCATGGATCGATCTAAGGTTTTGTACAAACGCACGCACTCACACTTGCATTCGCTCGAACGCACACACATGCACAGGCACACACTTGCAACATTTGCAATTTTATATATCATTTGCAACATTGGCGTCCACATCGAGGAATTAGCTGCAGCAATAGCGCCAAACGACGGTTATTGTTTTGTAAGCTGTTTTACAATTTAATGGTTTTCATGGTAAGTACCCACAAATGATCCTTCTTCCTTAGCTTCAACCCACGCGAGCAAATTTTTGAATTAAAATTTGATAAAAACAACCAAAAGGACAGGCAGGTTCTTGCGTACCGGCTTTTCTTGAGTCCGATTCGGTCTCTGCAAGACTTTTCAGAAATATCAATTTTAAGAGAGTTGTACGAGGTTTCACTCCGGTTTTGCGGAATACACACATAGCTTATGTTTGGACACGCGTTTTGTTCTGGACTATCTTTACAATTTTTCAAATGTGTTTTTCTAGTTTCATATAATTATCTTTTTTCTTTTCAAAATGAGGGGAATCCAGAAATATGGTTGATGGTCTTTTTTTATGAAATTTTGTTGTTTCATGCAAATTTGCTACCAAGAGTGTTGGACAAAAAAGAGCCACTCTAATGTCTGTAAACATATCCAAGAGAAGGGCGAATTTTTACGAAAATAAAATAAATTATGCTAGATTGCTTTCGGGAAGCCTACGGCCGTCCAAAAACGGCCAAAATTATTGAGGAAGGAACTCATAATAAAATTTTTAAATAGGGACTTTTTCAACACATATTCCCATAGCATTGACATAAATCAGACCTCGTAGAGTCCTGTTTGTGGTACTGAGTCAGGCCGCACCAAATATATACTAAGGTCTGTTCAAGGGGCACAAGTCTGTAGAATTTATTTCTGGCCACTACAACAACAATCCACCTTTACTATAATCTCTCACAATATTGCCTCTACAATTACAAAGACACGAATTCCCCCAGATACCATGTACGCACGTAAGTGTTAACACATAAACCAACAATTTGTCTCATTATAATATTCAGATCGAGAAATGAAATGAATTACGATAAAGCCCACACTCACGCCAATATCGCCTTTTATACGTTCAGCCCTCTGCATATTTACATTCATATATACTTACGCATGTACGACAAGTAATTAACAAAAAAAAAAAAAAAAAAAAAAAAAAAAAAAAAAAAAAAAAAAAAAAAAAAAAAAAAAAAACAATTAATTGAAACCACGATGGCGTTGGTGCCACTGTTTTTGTTCACATCTAAACACGCCTATCTCTTTTTGCCTTTTTTATTTTTTAATTTTATTTTGTTTTTCTGTTTTGGGGTGATCCTTTCATCAGCATCTCACCGTGCCATGGAATAACGAATAACATGGCACTTGTGTCAAGAGATCCATCAAGTGGACGCTACTCGAAATACAAAGAGGTGAAAATATAACTTAACTGCAACAACAACAGAAATTGACATGAAATTCTAATAATTATTTCAAACTCACAATGTTTGCTGTTGTTGGAGTCAACAAAGCATCAGTAACAAAACCTGTGGATGCGAACAAAGGGTCATGGTATGAAATTTGCAAATCATTCCAATGCAACCTCGTCATTTTTATCAGGCACCCTGACCTGCTTCCGCAGTAGAAACTGGCCATTCTCAAGTGTTTAAATACCAATTTTATTTTCCGAATTTCTACTCCATGCTCAAAGATGTGCAGCAAGTGCATTTTATATTTTTATGGAAGCACAGCACACTTATACTTACAAAAGTATTATTTCCTCTCCGAAATATTTTATTCAGATCTATACTGACTGAGTATTCCAGAAGCTGGCGCATGGCGATTCTGTCGTCCTTGAAGTTCTTGCAGTCGTTCTAAGGAAGGAGCTCGTATATCTTGTCTTAGTGAGTAATACCATGCGGAAAGACACGGGTACTGGTGCATATCCTGGCAGATACTTTGCCATTCTCTCCTGCATGGCGATTTTTATGAAAACTATAATATCAACCTTTCTCGAAATTAATGTAATGTTAGTTTTTTGATATGCTCGGTACTGCCATTTTTCCATTTCAAAGTTGCTTCACATTTAACATTATAGTTGAAGCCAAGGCTTATGTGTTGAGGGTGGGGGCATCTGCAGATTTTTTTGCAAATAGTATTTTTATTCTAACGTGCCGCATGGTAGCAAATCAGAGCTTTAATGCCTTGGTCTAAAACTAGGAGCTTTTGAGTCATATTTTAGTTTAATAACTCATCTTTAGTGCTATTAATTTCGCCGAAAATGTGTTAAGTTCTAGTAAGAAAGTGTAAAAAATATAGGTAACATACATATGTATCTATGTTTCAAGTAACATTGATGAAGATTGAAATATTTCTCAAATTGAGGCTAAGCCCAAAGATATCATCTGGGAATATATTCAGTCCCTAATGGTTGGAAACGTTGAAATTCGAAACTAAAAATAATCGGTAATACTGAAGATATCCTGATAGTTCCAAGCTCCAGCGTTCTTGTAGGTGTGATGACGATGTATCTACCCCTAAAATATGATGTTCAAAAGCCAAGTAAGATAGAATCGGCCGAGTGTATTGTCTGCACAGAGGAGGAGTTCCAGCCTTATAGACTTGGGTGCGCATAGGTAGAAGAAATTAGCCTACTAAACGGCTTATGTGCAATCGCCCGCGGTAAGGACCTGACCGCTGTCCCTTTAAACCAACAAAATATTTATGAAACGTTCCATACTACTTTATCTTGGTTTTGCCGGGTTGTAATGAATGCAAGCTTTTCGCAAATACAGCTTTACTCACATAGAGAAATGTACAATACATATTCGGCACTTATTATTTTATTTTTAATTTCGGTACAATCATTTTACTGAAAACAATACGTTCGGGAAAACTTAAGGTCTCCCCCTTTCCTTTCTCCTACGGCTCACACTCGCAGCGGGTAGCCCACTAATTTCAATTATGCTCCAAGCTAACGATGTTTCATAAACAAAAAGAAGTTTCGCAATAACATCGTACTATTCTGCTAGTTGTTTATTTTCTAGTTGATGTTTGTTGTTGTTTTGACCGCTTTCAGCCGTTTGACTCGTAAGGTTACGTACTAGCGAGCTCAGTATGTTCCTGCGGTTGATGCTTTAGCTGGTTCTTGATTTGTGATCGATGGAGTGTCATTGTTTACTATGTTGGACGTTAACACTTTGACACCGCGGCTCGATGCCGCACATGTGGGGCAATGTAACGTACAACACACGTACATTCATATGTACTTGAGTTGTTGTTTGTGTGCTTATGCGTTGCATGCACCACAAGATGTGTTGCCCTCTTTCGCTTTATTTGGTTTAGCGTTGAATATCAAGTGCAGCAGCTGTGCTTCTAACTAGTACACACATACATACATACATATGTATGAGTATAACTGGCAACCAATTTGAAAGACTGTTTGGAAGTTTAGCTGGCATGTTAGTTAGCTAGTTGGCCGATCCGAAGTATGGTAGTATAGTATTTTGGTCGTCTGTCTGTCTGTCTGTCTGTCTGTCTGCGCTTGACACCGCTAAGAGGCTGTTCGATTTTTAACACATGGTACGTTAATAGTGCCCATTGGAATGCCACTTGCGGCTGAAAATCGTTCCCATAAATCTCACAGCGGTCGACTATAGTTTAAAAAGCTTATCACTCCGTGTGATTCCATTTAATTCGCTGCGATTCAATTGGCATTTGGATCAACACCGATTTGAACTTAAAGTGGCAGCGCCTTATGTTGCACTGACAGCTGCTGGCACTTTGCACAGATTAACTACACCAATTATTACAGAGATTCCCACTGAAGACAGCCACCGGCCACTGTTGACAGCTGGAATATACGGCTGCTGCTAAGGCTATGGCTACGTATACGACCACGGGTACGAGTACCAGGCAGCGTGATCATTTTATTTAACAAATGTCATTGTGGACATCTGAAAATCTGTTTTGTACGATCACTGAATGATCATTACTGACATAAATAACAGCAACATTGTCTTGCACTTTTGGACAATTCTATAGGCGAAATAATTAATTGCATTTATAGATACATACATGCACCCATATACTTGTATACATACATATGTATACATATGTATGCATAAACGAGCTTCCCAAGTATTAAAAGTTAGCGTAGAATATTTATTAGCTTTTAATGTCACTACGAGCTTAAAGCACTTCCCTTAGTTTAGACTCCTCATATTTTCAAACAAAGAATGACTTAAGGATAAAGGTTTGCTATTATCTGCGAATATAAAGAAATTGTGTGAACAAGTTCGCTATCAAGAGATACCGTCGCCGGTAAACTATCTACAGGGGAAGTGAAGTGCCAAACAGAAAACGCATTTGTTTATCGGGTTTCGTTCGACCCTTTTACTTAAGATGCAGAATGACATGTATTCCAAGTTGCCAATTTGCAAAGTTACGTAAATCGTTCGCAAAACCTTACCCTCGAAATCTGTAAGTACCGACTTATCAGACGTCGTCATAGTCCACATCTCTGCACCGGATAGAATGGCAACAACGAGCGACTTCTAGAGTTTGGTGTCTTTCTCGATCTTGGCGGGCCTCACGGGTCTTTTTCATGATTTGGCGAAAGGTGAATATTTGATCAATGACAGATTTGAAAGGTCTGAAACCACACTGATACCACATCACACCAGATACCCATCAGTTCGTTTTGATAGCCTTGCTAGCGAAGTAAGAACAAATACACTCGCTCAGTCTCATTAAAAATTCGATTCGGAAAATTCTAAACGCTTCGAAATTAAATTAAATTAAAACATGTATTCAGTTGAGTCTGTTTGTGTGGCCTAAAAGTTATTTGTTATATTTCTATTTACCTCTCTCTCTCTCTCTCTCTCTCTCTCTCTCCTTTGCCTAAATTTACGTATAAAATGAATTTCATAGTTGCTGTTGCGGATAATGTTGCACAGTAGCGAATAGCAAGTTACGAGCAACCAAGCACAAGAAGCTCAGCCACTTAGTTGTTGGATGGAAAAAGCAAATGTTATGTGGATACAGACAATATGCTTAAACGAGCCTTTTGCACATTTGCTTAACTTTGCTAAATGGTGCCATTAAAATTTTATTGGTAAAAGTCTTAAATCACAAAGAGGCAATTTGCAGCGATTTATTGTGATGAACAGAAAAAAATTACAGAATACCACATAAGCACTACGCTTTCAAGGTAGCACACGTTTACACATGTTACACTGCAACTCCTTACATTCTTTGCAGGGAAATATACTAGTTGTTACTAGAATCCAACTGGCTTGCACTTTTGCACTAACTTGTTCTTTGTCATCAGTTTTATACCAGTTCATTTAGGTAGTATGCTGAATGTCTACTTCACCAAAAAAAATTAAATAAAGAAAATAATAATGAGTTTGCCGAGGATGAATCGACGAATGTGATTTTTCTCTCTTCAACAGAGCGTAACTGAGATCATGTAAATTATTATTACTCGCGTTACTGGCGAACTGTTATACAAATAACCAACTACATAGTATAATTTCATATCTTAAAATACTGGTATTTAATCAGAACTATTGCAGAGTATGTAGCTTTACAACAGCAGATCTTCACGTCTCTGTATGTCTGGCGTATTTTTTAATAAAATCTTCTTAAACCCTAGTAATTATTCAAAGGTGAAACTTTTTGATTCTGGAAAAGTGAACATTACTATTCCGTATATATGGATAAGTGCAGATACATGATTCTCAGGCAATCTCGTAGTAAATATATAATAATTTATGGGCAGATATGAAAATATATATTTGTATGCTTGATATTCTCCCAGCAACCAGAAGTGATGGCATTTTTAGCAAACAGTAAATAATAAACTTCCAATTTTTGTGCGATCCCGAGGACAAGAGGTGGACACATGTATTAAATTATAAATTAACATAACTATTATTATAACTTCAATTAGAGAACGACAAAATAATTCGCTGTGATCACGTTGTGGAATTCTTAATTGGTACTTAGATATTGGAGAGCTGTCGAATATCGAATTCAATTCAAATTAGTATGAAAGTGAATTGTAAGTTGGGGTATCCGTCCGGCGAGGATAGGCATTGTACGCAGCCCTTTTTCATATACACTCCCCTGTTTATATATACGCCTATACATATGTAATTGTTTCGGGATATTTAATGTGATATTTGTTGCGATTTGCAATGGACAAATCATTACTGCTGCGAAAGATCATGAGAGTCTGCTGCTCAAGCGTGACTTTTAATAGCCACAATAAGCTCTTACAAATATTATCCTGCAAAGTTATAAAACTTCTGACTCGCTACTATGCTACAGCGTAAGCCATATACATACATATGTACCTAGTTATAATAGATGGTTGGTTATCTTATCTATTAATTATACATTGTTGATTTGAATATTATTCTTGTTTTTGTTTTTTGTTTTTTTTTTTCCAGTGAAACTCATTAAATAGCCAATATCCGGCTTACATACACCTATTTAACATAAATATGAAGCGTGTCTAAAACTAATTAGAAACTTCTTCTTCTTTCAGAATGGCCTGGGACCTGACCCTCTGCCCGCGAAGGAGGTGAGTGGATTTCAAAATTCTTATCCTAAAACGAAATTTGTTTCTTTCTCTCATTCCTATTGTTCTTTTTTCCTTTTTCTTCTAATGGAAGCGCGTGGCAGTTGTTAAACACAACTCCAATTAATATTGGCAAATTAAGAAATATTGTTTCGAAATTGCTGTTGTTGCGGTTGTTGTTGTTGTTAAATACCGTAATTGATGGCAAATTAGTAAACTGTGTTCGCGGTCCATGTTAACGGCGGCTAATGCTCTATCTGATTGCGTGATCTATATCTTTCAACTCTACTCGTACGCACACTCACATGCATATGCACTTTGTCAACATAAATACACTACCTAAGTCTGAGTCTGAGCCTGAATCTGAGTCTGAAAAGCTTCATATCTGATATACTCATATTTATTTAGATATGTACTATGTATATTTGTTTACAGCAGTATGTCGTGCTCCGGTTCCTCTGCGAGAGTGTGAGTTTGTGGCACTTGGACTCGCATGTAATCCACTAAGTCACTGAAATTGCCATTATAAATCACTCGGCTTCATTTGTCAACAAACAACAATAATGTGCAATAATAGTTTATATTTAAAGGCAAACGTTTATTAGCGTTCGCCCATTGAAATTGATTTTGATAGCTCCACAAACTTGTTTTGCTCGCACTTACACTTGAAATGAAATATTTTCTCTCCTCGATTCTCCATTTCTTCATTGGTGGACATTTGTAGGTATATATATGTAAGTCTAATTCTGGAATGGTAAAATCAAAAGTGGACTAAAAAATCAATTCAAAATTTATTTTTTTCCTAATGATCACAATTTATTGATTGTATCTGAAATTGATTAGAAATTTTAAATTTTTCAAAAATTTCAAAGTCACCTCTTTGTAAAAATTAACTTAAAAAAAAAGAGGTGTAGTGATGTGTTGATCATGATGAGCAACCATTCTGTATAGGTTTGGTTCACGGCTAAAGGATGAAGAACTCTAAAGGAACCTTTCAGACATATCCGGCTCATCGGGATGAAGAAGTTCAAATAGCATGCTCAAAGATTGAAGCCGCAAAACTTGTACAGCTGAGCAACACCAAAAACTTCGGGAAAATCGAAAAGGTCACTACTCACTACCGAGCTTTTCGATATTAAACGAGGTTTCAGACAAGGTGACTCTCTACTACTATTGCTTTGGACTGAGGAGGTAATTGAAATGTGAAGTCACCTTACGACGAACAAATATCCAACTTCACAAGCCGCTCCTCATTAATCCCGCCCAACATCTACTGATCTGGCACTAGATCTCTTCGATGAATAAGAAAAAACTGCCAGGCAAATTCATATAGGGTAAATTTTTGATTAGAAAGAATCCAAACTGCCGGGCTAAAAGACTATCGACTTATAGAACAAGACTTCTTTAAAAAGATCCTGTACAATTAATCAAGTTCCAAATTAACATAATTGTCATTTGTCTAATGCCGGAATCAAAGTTAAGCTAGCTAGAGCTAAATGTTCTCTTTCCTTCCTCTTAATTCAAAAGATTTATCCTACATATTGCTGCATCTAGTGAACGACTTAATTGGTTTCTTGCGGGCTGGTTTCATTCACTGCTAGTAAGCCCATGCCATTTATATGTATGTACAAAATGTGTGAGTAAAGATCACGCTGACATATCAACCACATGCTGTTAGGATCGCCTACTCCAGTACTTGCACAAACAGTTGACATTTTAATAATTTTTCTAACACGTTTCAAAGATGTTCGCCATGTTCCCGTTTGTTTATTTCCCACTGGCGGTTTATGTTCAGAAAGGCATGCAAATATACACACAAGTAAAAATAAAAATCGTTATAAAGGCAAAGACAATGAATGCCAACACTCGATTTAATTGCGTTAACATATGATGTGGGCATAAAGGCGAAAAAGAGCATTGTTATTTGATTAGAATGAAACAAATGAATCGCGCTCTCGGCAGAATAATACGATATGGATAGGCAAACATTATAACTATTTCAGAGCGATACATATATACTCGTATATAACACATAGGACTTGTTTGTTGATATAAATTAGAAATAAATAATTTTTTCCCCACTTTACCATTTTTTGATTTTGATTTATTTATGCTTTTTTTAAGTGAAAAATTCAATTTCAGGCAGAGGGACCTCCCGTTCAAATGGAACCAGTCGATCTTAGCTTACGTTCCCTTCAAGGTAAGCCATATTTAAGATACGGTATATCTAACTTCTTAAGGAAAATTTCAAATGTGAAGATCGTCAGTTTTTCAACGAACATCTGACCGCTTCAGCAAACTCCATCTTCGAATGTCTTCCTTGCAATTAGGCACCACTTGCTCTGCATGCCGATTTCAAAAGCTCATTTAGCCCATTTGATATACTGAAGAAGATAAAATATTATTTCGTTTTGACATTTCTCTTAAAGCGTGTGTTTGTGTGTATATATAAGTATGTATAGGTTAAGCTAAGCAAATTACAAAGTTATGGAAACGGATTCCGCAACTAAACTTTAGTGGGCTAATTAAATTTAGAAAACGTTTAGCCAAATACACTCACATTACCTCCAAATGCATATGTACACACACACAAATTGCTGTTGGTATTAGATACCAATATTATTTTTTTTACTTAGTTGTAGCGATCATCTCAGCCAGCTCCGATAACGCAAAAATCATCATCGGCGATAGCCATTAATAATTACAAACTGTGGCCAGTGGCCGGTGGCCAAAGAGCTCCGTAAGCGTTTAAAATATGCCAAGATACCGTAAAGCAGCAATTACTTCGTTTGTAGCACATCTGACCATCTGACCATATACATTCATACAGATATATTGTATGTGTATGTATATGATGATCACTAAACGGAAAAAAACTTAAACGCTTTCATTTCCAAATCCCCGAATGTTAAAAAGATATTAAATAATTAACGCGGTTTTGGTTAAAGCATCATTAATTTTGTCAAGAGGGGCATGCTTTACACTTATCATAAATTTATACATGCACAGATGTACAGTGTTGGGCAGAAATATAGGCAACTAACATTTTTTAATATTTTTTTTTTTAATTTCAAGCTACACTTTTCGAAAAATTCATTGATTTCCAATTTAAGCACTCTCAATTCGTTATAAAGAGTAAGGTTACCTATTTTCTTAAAATATCCAAAATACCGTGCCTTCACTCGGTAGTTTATGTAAAGTTTGTTCTTCGAATTTAATGCGTCCCCTTCTAGTTATTGGAAATTTAGTACTCTCTATTTCAAAACCAAATGTCAAAATGACCGAGCTTAATGAAAACTTATTCGTCAGCGCTAATGCTATTAAGCGGTTAGCATTGCGTACTCAACTTCCAGTCTTGGTCCGACCAATTTTTAATTTTTCTAATTGCAATTCCCTAGCCCTTCCGAGTGTATTTCTGACATGAATGAGTCCTTCGGAGGCGGCTTAGGCATCTATAGACCCTTCCATTTGTTTCAAGACGCACCCCAAAAATACAGATACATTTAAATTTGTGAAGAATTGCACTCAATTAACGAGTTGGAAGAGACTTTAGATTATGAATTAGATTTTGAGGAGCGAGGAAGTGTATTTGAGATTTAATTTTTCAACTAATGCGGTATAAAATTACATTGGCCCTCCCTAGGAATCGTTGGAACCGTCGCTTTAATGTTAAGCGATTGAAGAAAACTTAAGAAAACTCTCTGATAATCTACCACATTTTGTACCTCCCTATTTTGTATGCATGAACTCAAATACGTGCCATTTTTTCTGAATGGGTTATTTAATCGTTGTGTAAATTTAAACGGTTTGGTGATTTTAGTAACTGTTGTCATGCACCTCACTGTACTCCATTGTATATATGCAATGAAACAAAAACTAAGCAAAACACCTTGAAATATGAGAAATGTGGGCCCAGACTCATGTCAGTATGTATCTAAAAATAAAAATTGAGCAATAATTTAGAACGGTGGCAAGCATGTGTATGTATATATATGTGTGTTTTTCAAAAAAATTGGTGCCTATTTGCCTAATTATAATGGATTGAAATGAAGGTATGTACGCCCCACAGCAACGAGATTCATTAAAGCCAAAGCCGATTTGGTGAAATGTAGTAAATAGTGTTAAAATCTCGGAACAGAATGAACGAAATCATTTATTTAATTGGTGGTTTCGTAGTGAAGGGTTCATACAACGAACTTTTAAGAATCTCACTACTAGAGCGAAATTCATAATTATTTAATGTCGCTCTTAACGAATTTCTAAATATGTTCACATAGAGTGACGGATGTCAATACCAGCGCTAAATATATTAAAAGAAAGCGAAGTGCAAGAAACACTTGACGTGGCAATCTAGTAAGTTAAGAGCTCACAAGGGTATTATTCAGGGTAAAAAAGGCATTTTTTTTACAATTTTTTTTCAATAAAGTATAAAATGTTTTAATCAACCTGTAAAACCCTCGTAATGCGAAAAAAACTCAGAATCCTTGCAAAATGAGAGCAAACATTTTGTCGCCGATTCACGGTAAGTCTCTCGGCACTTATTATTTTATCGATTACATGAATATCTTTCAAGGTGCTTGTGAATACATTTCAGAAGTCTTTGTGCACACTGCTTTTTTAACATGAAACTATCCATTTTGGAGGAGGCGGTTCAAACAGATATGTATATATATTACAATTTATTTTGTGTAGTAAGATCAAGTGGCGTATGATTGATACATATGTATGTTAAATTTTTAACAATACTGCATAGTAAACCGCATGTCGATCCGCTACAAGTCCTGTGCATGCGTTTATCGTGTGACACTACTGCAGTTAACGGCAAAACGTATTTTGTTTCATTCGACGCCAAGGAATCCGCAAGGCAAAGACACGTAGCGTCCAGCTGTCAATTAAATGTTTAACAGCCATAGTCGGTGTCATCGGCGTCGCCACACGATTTCATTAATTGCAGACTTTGACAGGTTCATCGGCAAAAACGATGTTGTGTTTATATGTACGTATGTCAACTTCTATACTAAAATACAAAGCAATGTTTGAAATAAACTGAAATAAAAAATACTAAAAAAGAATTATTGGCAACTTTCAAAATCGTGTACATAAATGTATTGGAAATTGTTCTAATCTAACTCACACACAGGAAGCTTTCCACCAATAATCACTGTTACGTGAATCGAATGACATTTATGGGGACATATGAATGCCCAAAATACCCATATTTCATATTACACAAGAATATGATAAATTAACTGTTAAAATATCGCAAACATTATAAATAACGATGCAATATCCCCTAAGGAAGCATACGTGCGCGCGTCGTGTGTAGTCGTTTGCCAATCGGCATAAGATAATTTATTTTAATAATGGCTCTTAAAGACAGAAAACTAGGCCGCATATTATCATTTTAAGATCTAGTTCGTTTCGTAAGTACATATTTTCCGCTCATCTGCAAAACATCACACTGCTGTCTTATGTCCGTCTTTTGGGAAACAGTGGCATTAATGGTATATACATTCATACGTATGTACGGCTATGTCTGCACCAATTGGTGCTTAAGCGCAAAAACTACTCAAGAGCAATTATCAAATTTAACTTGAACCTATCTCTTATTTGCTCTCTCGATATTTCGATCGAACCGATAACAATATTTGTTGCATGACACCGCGCCGACTCATATGTTTAAGTCGAATTAAAAAATTTAACTGATTTAATCCGAAAAACAATCAATATGATCAATATTATCTGTGTACAAGGTGTGATTATCTCAAAAGCCGAACAACAAGTTTGTGCTCAAAGAGAAGGGCGGACAAACGGACAGACAGGCAGACATAGATTGGAAAAACATCAAGATGCACACCCTGTAAACTGAAATACGCTACACACTTTTTTCGTGCGCGACTTGAAAGGATTAAATCCCGGGTACATAGCAAGACCCTGAAATGATCTCTTTTTTTTTTAATTAGTGTCATTTGCAACTTTGGAAGCTTTCCAATGCTATTTGGTAGTCGCCTACATTCCAGTACCACTCTCGGTGTAGTAGTTTACTGTCTCAAATAAAGTATTATGTTAGTCATTAATGATTTCAGCATAGTTTCCAACAGCATTCAAATAAATGCTCAAAGCATATCAACGTAGTAGACAACAAAGAGCCGCATAGCCGTACACCCAATTCCCACAAAAATCTAGCAATTTAAACTTATCCAAAAACCGAAATACAACAAAAATAACATCAAATCAAACGCGCTTGAACGACAACAATCACACTGTCAAACGAAGATTCAAATTCAACATTTTGTCATAATATTGAAAGGCAAACAACAAAAAGCAAATGAACTCACACATCTCAGCGCGAGAATCGCATTTGGTCTTCGGAAGTTTGCTATTTTTGTCGTTTTATTTTTTGTGTGGCTCTTTTGAAATGTTTTGGCCACCAAGCCCATGTTTGCAGCAATGTTTCCCCACCTCGATTTCCATCTCGTCCTTGCCCGCCCTGCCGTCAAATCGGTGGGATGTGATTCCCACTGATGCGAGCAAAGCGAGTGTTTGCTTAGACGCCCAATTCCCGTTGCCACACACTCGTACCGTTCCAATGTTGTTAGCCATCTAAGCGCAGCGCTCCTATCGGCCCGCTTAAACGGATCATTCGCATCCGGTAATGCGACGCGGCAATTTGACAGAACAATGAGGGCAGAGGCAGCAGCACTAACAGCAGCGTTAACATCAAAGCGTCAGTTGAGAGTGGCTGAGAAAAGCGCGGGTGAAATAAACACAACAACACAGCTAGAGAACACAAATAATAATAAAAAAGGATGTGTTAAAGCTGTCGTTGTTGTGGCTATGGTTGTTGTACGATTTTATTGCATTTTCAGTTTGTTTTTGTTTCTACTTTTCGTTATTTTTTTTCTAAAAAGTGCTCTTCTTGATGTGATTCTGGTCCGTGTGATTGTTGTTGTGCGCTGTTTCGTCGGCGGTTTGACTGAATGACTGCCTTAAAGGTTATGTGAAAGGTCAAGTTCGTGATCGCATTCAAACATTTTTGCCAACTACTCATCTCGCGGCGATGGTGACGGCGATGCTTAACGTAGTAGACTCGGCGACCGCGCAAGCAGAAGACACCAACGAAACAACGTCGTTATTGCTGCATGTATACAACAACAACAGCAATAATAATAATAATAATAACAACAACAACAACAACAA